TCCAATTATTTCCCTTCGCAAATGGTTTTGCCCATCCCCCCCGGGTCTGCACTGGGGAGTCCCGAGGGAGTAGTGCGTCCAAGATGGACTCAGCGAGAAAGCAAAACCATAGATGTTTCTCAGATGTTGGGCCGATGCTGGCTTCCTGGGGGAGGACGAGGCTAATTGACACCCCAATTCATGGTTTTTAATCGCTGGCCTCCAAGGTGGCCACAAGACGGCCCAAAAAGCCCCCAAGAGAGACAAGAAAGGGCCAGAAGACCCCAGGAGGCCCCAAGAGGCCCCCCACCACGAGATCCCAACAGGCATCCGAAAGGCCTCAGACCCACAATCCAAGCACGGTGGCGAGGTGGACCGAAGGCCACTGGATCCGCCGCCCGCCGCCCCCTGTTGCTTTATCATAGGGATGCCCGGCGTGCTAGATCCTACGGCTTGGTTTTGGCTCTTTTCCAAAAAACTCCCCCTGGGGCCAAACCATGCCGCTGGCCAATCGGAAGGCTGCGGTCGATCCGGTTGCCAAGGATGTTCCTGCTCCAGATGGCTCCAAGATGGCCCAAAAAGACGGCCACGATGACCCAAGATGGTCCCGGATGACCTCCAAGACGGCCCAAAAGAGTCCAAGATTGCTTCAAGTTCGCCCAAGAAGCCTCCAAGACAGCCCAAGACAGCCCCAGACGCCTCCTAGAGGCCTCCAAGACAGAACAAGAGGCTTCCAAGAGACACTCCAGGAGGGCACGAAGAGGCCAAAATCATTAATGCTCCTTGGGTTGTTGCAGGATTTGGGCATTTGCTTCTTTTCGGCCTTCCGACAGCCCAAGGACGGTCCAAGAGGCCCCCAAGATCGCCCCAACATGGCCCGAAAGGACTCCAAGATGACCCCATGACGGCCCCAAAGCCTCCAAGACGGTCACAAGAGGCCTCCAAGTTCGCGGTAGAAGCCTCAAAGACGGCCCAAGACGGCCCAAAAAGCCCCTAACAAGCCTCCAAGACGGCCCAAGAGGCGTCCAAGAGGTTCCCAGGAGAGCCCGAAGAGGCCAAAATCATTGATTGCCCTTAGGTTGTTGAAGGATATTTGCATGTTTCTGGTCGGCCTTCCGACAGCCCAAGACGGCCCAAGAGGCTCCCAAGATCGCCCCAAGATGGCCCCAAAGGCCCTCCAAGATGACCCCATGACAGCCCGAGAAGCCTCAAAGACGGCCCCGAGAGGGCCTCCAGACGGCCATGAAGCGCACCAAAAGAGCCCCAAGTCGGTTCAGAGAAGCATCGAAGACGGCGTCCGACGGCGTCAGACGGGCCAGGAACGCCGTAAGACGGCCAAATCGGCTCCGAACAAGTCCACAACGGCTCCCAACAGGCCCGAGGAGACCCCAAGAGACCTCCAAGAGGCTCCCAGGAAGCTATCAGGAGACCCCCAGTGCCCCAAGCGGCTTCCAAGAGGCGTACTCCTCCTTCTTCTCCTCCTCCTCCTCGTCCTCCTCCTCATCCTCCTCCTCATCCTCCTCCTCATCATCATCATCCTCCTCCTCATCCTCCTCCTCCCTTTCCAATTTTCTCCTCAGTCTCCTCTTCCTCACGTGTTCCCCAAAAGGTTTCAGCGACAGCTGGGGGAACAAATGGCTCGATAGCTCCACCCACCTTTTCGGCAACATAGGCGCGTCGAAGAAGGAAGGGGGCGGCGGTGTTTCGCCGCCGTAGGCGTCTTCGATACAAACATCTGCATAAGAGATAGAGAGATAAAGAGAGCGAGCTAATAAACCAGAGGAGAGGGGAAGAGAGCGAGAGAGATAGAGAGAGAGAGAGAGAGAGACCGAGAGCAAGAGACCGAGAACGAGACCTCGACCTCGACCCAGAGAGCGAGAGAGCGAGAGATGCCTTTGCTGGCCACAAGGAGCCTTCGCCGCCATCGCCTGGCACGTGGGAGGGAGCCGAAGCTGGCGCGGGATTGCAAGGGAGAAGCGTGAAGCGTAGACATACAAAGACGGAGGGGATGAGATGTAGGGGGAGGGAAGAAGATAATCCCACCAGCCCTCTGGGCGTAGGTGGTTGAGGGAGTTTCCTCTTCCAACCCCCTTCTTCCCCTTCGGGGAGGGGTTTGCCCCCCCCCCTACCCCTCCCCTGGACCTGGGCGGGGGTGATCGCGAGGGGTTGGAGCGTCTAAGATGGCCCAAGATGGCTCCAAGAGGGCCTCGGAGAGGCCAAGATGACCTCCAAGATGGCTCAAGATAGCGCAAGATGCGTCAAGATTGCTCTCAAAATGCTCCAAAAGGCCCCAAGAACGCCCCAAGACGGTTCCAAGATGCCTCCGAGACCCCCAGTGAGGCTTCCAAGAAGCCAAAATTCGACAAAAAACACACAGGAAAATCAATGATACGTGCATTCTCGCCTTTTCGCTTCCGATGGCCATCCGGGGCCTCAAGATGGCTCCAAGATGGCCCAAGAGGGGACCCCAAGAGGGGGCCCAAGATGGCCCCAAGAGCGCCCAAGAGCACTCCAAGAGCGCCCCAAGAGGGGTTCAGGAGGCGATGTTTGGCGCTCTGGAAGGGCAGCGCAAATTAAGGAACCCCCCTTCTTTGGTTGATCTCCTCCAAGATGGCCCCAAGAGCGCCCCTAAAGCTCCCAAGAGCGTCCCAAGAGGGCCCCAAGAGGCGCCCAGGCGGCCCCAAGCTGCCTCCAAGAGGCTCCCAAGAGAGCCCCAAGAGGCCCCCAAGAAGCTTCAAGAGAACTCCCGAGGCACCCACGATGCCCCCCAGGCGTTCCAAGAGGCCTGCAGGAAACTCCCAAGAGGCACGCTCGGAGGTTCTTATGTTCGGCATGTGCTGTGTTTGTCCTCCTCATCCTTATCCTCCTCCTTCTCCTTCTCCTCCTTGTCCGCCTCCTCCTCCTTTCCCTCTATTTGTTCAGCCTACTCCTCCTGCTCCTCCTCCTCCTCCTTTCCTACCCTCTCCCTCCCCCACATCCTCGTCCCCCTCCTCTTTCCGCCCCCCCCCCCCCCCCCCCCCCCCCCCCCCCTCCCTCCACTCCCCCTCCTCTTCCTCCTCCTCCTCCTCCTCCTCCTCCTCCTCCTCCTCCTCCTCCTCCTCCTCCTCCTCCTCCTCCTCCTCCTCCTCATTCTCCCCTTCCTCCTCGTCCTCCGCCCCCCCCCCTCGCGGCGAAAGCAGCGACGACAGAGTCGACGACGACGAAGACGAAGACGACGATGACGACGGCGGCAGCGGCGGCGGGAAAGAGGGGCGGAAGTCGGAGCAGCAGCAGCAGCACCACCACCACCAACAGCAACAGCACCAACAGCAGCACCCGCACCATTCGTTACCAGAGATCTCCCAACTCACCGCTGTTACCCACGCTGTTTCGCGATGCGCCTCTCTTCATTCCTTCTCCCGTCAGCTCTCCTGGACATCGTTTCTGGATGGGCTGGTGGGGATTCTTTTTGGTTGCGACCGCTCATCAGAGGGCAGGCGGCGAAAGGGGGTCCGGGGCACGGGCCAGCCTAATTAGCTACTAAGCGCCACGCGAGCCGGTCGGGCCAACACTCAGAAGCGGCAGCTGTGGAGCAGCAGCGGCACGTGGGGCTGACTGGCTGGTCTGCAACGCCCAGGGAAGCTGATGCAACGAGCAAACCTGTGGCAGGGGTGCCAAAGAATTAAGAACTGCACGCCGAGGCGCCAGTCCACCACGGTGCAAGTGCCATGCCGCGTACTGAGGAACGCTGCTGGTGAACCGGAAAACGGTGCGTAGCCAGGAACGGAGCTCTGCAAGCACGTTGTGCACAAGCACTGTAGCTAAGAAAGGCCAGGTACAGACTGACCATGTCGCCAGAGGGCGCCAAGGGCCAGGGCCGCGACAGCGGCATAGACCTGCCTGGTAGGCTGGGTCGGGTCGCGGAGGAAGCACGGCGTCTGCTGGAAGGCAGGACCGACCACTCCGCGACGCATCTCGAGTAACCTGTGGAAGACTCCAGTCCCGAGCAACAACACTAGGATGGACCCGGCCCGGAGGGCGACTGCACCTGAGGGCCTGGCCCAGGGTCACGACGTGAACGCCGTTGAGAACCGCGTATTGCGCGGACAGCAGGCCAGACTGGCGGGAATGGACATCGCCAGTGTAGCAGGAGAGGGACGGACACCAGGGGACGTCAGCGCCAGGGGGCGGCAACCCGTATGACGATGCGGAGCCGCGGGGTCATGTAGCTAGACGCCCTGCCCTTGTGGGAACCTCGTATGGCGGGGGCGGTGGGTACTGACATCACCAGCCGGCCAGGTTGGGGGGGCCCATCGGGGATTCCCGGTGCCAGGGGACAGCCGGTGGCCCGGCGAGCGGGAGCGGGCCCGCGTGAACGCGTGGCCGAGGGCAGTCCCGTGTCTCGGACAAATGGCGGTGCCATCCCGTCCGTGGGAGAGGGGAGGAGGAGAGAGGCGGGGGCCAGGGAGCGGCTGACGGCCGCACGGATTCGCATGTAAGTCCACGTCCAGTGGAACGTGTGGGGACGCATATCCCCAACTGGGGGGATGAGATGGTGGGGGTCTGGATGGGGATGGGGATGGGGATGGGGATGGGGATGGGGATGGGGATGGGGGTCGGTTAAACGGTGCTGAGAGGGCGGGGGGGGGGGGCAGGGGCATGGGCTGGGGGCAGCGCAGGACGCAGGGAACACTGGGGGAAGAGGCGGAGAGGGGAGCGCGCAGAACGGGGGAGGGGCCCTTCCCGGGAAGTCTGAGGAAGGGGGAGGAGAAGGAGAGGGGAAGGAGGAGGGGAAGGAGGACGAGGAGGAAGAGGACGAGGAGGAAGAGGACGAGGAGGAGGAGGAGGAGGAGGAGGAAGAGGAGGAGGTGGAGGAGGAGCAGGAGGAGGACTCCGCAGGATTCCTTGGAATCGCTCTGGGATCCTCAAGACTCCCCGGGAACCCCCAGGATTCCAACATTTTCCCTCGGATTCCTGGGGATTCGTCCTCAAGAGTTCCTCAGGATTCCTTTGAGTTCCTCAGGATTCCTCGGGACTCGTCCGCATTCCAAAGGGTTCCTCAGAATTCCTGAGGGTTTCTTAGGATGCGGGCAGGGAGGGAAGGGGAAGCGGAGGGGGACGGGGGGGCAGGGGACTGTCGGGGAGAGGCTTTGGATCTCGCATCGCCAGGAGACGAGTCCTCCTGCCCGCTGAATGGTTGCAGGATTGCCCCTGCAGCCCCCTGGGTGGACGGAGAGAGAATGCGCTCGGCAAGAGGGGATGGGGAGAGGGAGAGAGGGGGAGAGGGAGGGCAGAGGAAAGGGGGCGAAGCCGCGACGAAGAAGGCCGCGAGGGCTCTGTGGCAGCCCATGGGAGCCTCCCATGCCATCTTGCTGGCTCTTGCGCATCGACGCTAGCCGACGCTAATCGACGCTAGTCGACGCCAAATCGAAGCTAAAGCGGCGATTCCTCGTCGGTTACGGCCAGACCTAGGACAGAAGAACATCCTCTAAGGAGATGAGACCCTCCCCGTCGGCCCAAACAGAAGAAAGTTCGAAGGCACCCTCCGCCAGGGTGCACACGGACAGCCACCAAGCACTGAAGAACACGGGGGGGCCCTCCCCGAACCGACCTCGATCTTGCACCTCGGTCCGACCCTGCGACAGGCCACCGCACGCGGGTGCAAGCGACTGGCGAGGGCACGCGAGGCTCCCATTGTTCTGCCACCGAAGGAAGGGAAGGGGGACCGCTTGGGGGCGGGGGCGCGGCGCCAGTTGCGCCCCGAGGGCGTCCCGTGCAGGGAGCGGCGGGTGCACGGGGGCACCTCGGCAGGATTCGCGAGCGCACGCCGATGCCACACTCGGGGGTTGCCACAGGTGCTCCTGGCCCGAAGCTGCCTCCAGCCTGTCGCTCCACTTCGAAGCCCCCGGGGCCCCCGGGGCCTCGTGAGGGGTGCTCTGGAGGCCGTGGGGGGCCTCCGTGGAAATCCTTGGAGATCCTCGAGAGCCGTGAGATCTCAGGGATCCTCGATTTTCCCCAGCAGCCTGGTACAAATCCCCATCCCTAGGATTGGCATCGCATCATCTCGACGCCAGTCTGAACGATTCCCTCAGGTTCTGAGGGTGCACCCCTAAGATTATCATCGCGTTTTGCACGACAAAGATACAAGTTCGAGGCCAAATGTAACACCCTCATGCGAATTCGTCCTCGTCCTGGCTCCGTCTTGACCAGGGACGCCACTGTGGCAGCGCCCTCCCCAGACATCCGGCCGCTCCAATTTTTTCGATGCGTGGGCCCCAGGAGGTCTGGACCACTTCAACAGGGCCGGTTTTTCGTCCCGAGTCTTTTTTGGACGGTCCCGAGGCCCAGCGAGGCCGAAAATAGCCCAAACCTGGCCGCTCCTGAGGATCGTTTAACCGATCGGCATCCCTAGCAGCGTGGCCTGGGACCCACTGGCCGATTGACCCCCCTAGATGGGGATATAGGCCGTTCCCTTCGTGTTTCGAGGGGTGTATCCCCAACTGGGGTGGCAATTTGGTGGAGGTCTCGAAAGGGATGGGAATGGGGATGGGGGTCGGTAAAACGATACTGAGCTCCAATGTCTTTGGAGCGTCGGATCTCTGGGGATCGAGACGCGCCCAGCACGCTCCTCTAGCGGGGACCGTGCCCCGAGAGCGCACGGGGGGCACGCGGGCGCTGCAGGCCTTGCGGCGGGATCTCGTACATGGCCCGTATCTCCTCGAGGGATCTCAGCGGGGCCTCCCGTCGGCGGCCGATGGCGATGGGGCGGAGGGAGAAAGGGGGAGGAGGAAGAAGGGGGAGGAGGAGCAGGAGGAGGAGGAGGAGGAGAGGAGGGGCGAGGAGAATGGGCGAGGAGGAGGTGCGAGGGGGAGGTGCGAGGGAGGAGGTTGGGGAGAGAAGGGGCGAGGAGGAAGCAGGAGGGGAGGAGGAGGAGGGAAGAGGGAGGATGCGGATGGGAAGGGGGAGGAGGAGGAGGAGGAGGAGGAGGAGGAGGAGAGGAGAGGAGCAGGGGGAGGAGTGAAGAGGAGGAGGAAGAGGAGGAGGAGGAGTAGGAGGAGGAGGAGGAGGAGAAGGAGCAGGGGGAGGAGGAAGAGGAGGAGGAGGAGGAAGAGGAGGAGAAGGAGGAGGAGGAAGAGGAGGAGGAGGACGACGAGGAGTTAGAATCCGAAGAGGTACCGCCAAGGTAACCCACCGGAGCCGCGGCCCAGGTCGTACATTCATTTGGACTACGTTTGGCGGAGATTGGCTTTGATGGTACTCTTGTTCTCCACCCTCGCGTATTGTTGAGTCCTTGCTTTCTCTCCGCAGCGCCGAACGTCCCCTTCCTTCCTCACCTCATCCCCCATCTCCCTCCTCATCCGCCTCCTCCTCCTCATCCTCATCAGCAGCAGCAGCATCAGCATCATCATCAGCGTCATCATATTCATCATCGTCAGCATCATCATAATCAGCATCAGCATCATCATCAGCATCATCATAATCAGCAGCATCATCATCATCATCGTCATCATCATCATCATCATCATCATCATCATCATCATCATCATCATCATCATCATCATCATCATCATCATCATCATCATAATCATAATCAGCATCATCAGCAGCAGCATAACATAATCATCCGTATCATCATCAGCATAATCATCATCATCATCATCAGCAGCAGCATCAGCATCATCATCATCATCATCATCATCATCAGCATCGCCATCGTCATCATCATCATCCGCATCAGCAGCAGCATCATGATCAGCATCAGTATCACCACCACCACCACCACCACCATCATCATCATCATCATCATCATCATCATCATCATCATCATCCTCATTCTCATCATCATCCTCATCATCATTCTCATCCTCATCATCATCCTCGTCATAATGGTTCGCCCTATCAATCTCTTCGTTACCACCACCGTCATCACCACCATCATCATCACCAAAAGCACCACCCTCACGAGCACGAACCCCAACACAAACACCGCTATCGTATCATGATGATCGTCATCATGTTTGTCAACATGCGCATCGGCAATATAATCAGAAGCATCATCATCATCACTGATATCGTCGTCATCACCATCAGCATCACCGTCACAATCGCCAGCATCAGCATCATCATCAAAATCATCAGCAGAAGCAGCGTCATCGTCATCACCATCATCATCAGCAGGAGCATCATCAGCATCAGCATCAGCATCAGCAGCAGCAGCACCACCAGCATCAGCATCAGCATCAGCAGCAGCAGCAGCATCATTATCATCATCATCAGCAGCAGCATCATAGTCGCCGTCGTTGTCGTCGTCGTCACCTTCGTAATTGAATCATGCATACAGTCGTTCTCGTCGTTAACGTCATCATCACCAGCATCACCAGCATCAATATCATCGGATCCGTCAGTATCAACACCAGTATCCTCATCCCAGCAAACAACGCGGACAACATCGTTAAGCCGCACCTCTCTTCTTCCAGAGGTTCGCGAAATGACGTAAACCTCTCGAGAACACAAAGGCAGAGGTGCAGGAGGGGGAGGAAGAGGACGACGTGGAGCAGGACGCAGAGCATTGGAAGGAGAAGGAGGACGAGGAGGACGAGGAGCAGGGAAGGCAGAGAAGAAGCGGGAGAGAGAGAGAGAGGAGGGGGGAGGCGAAGAGGGCAGGGAAACAAAACGCGGAAGAGAGAGAGAGAGAGAACACCAGAAAACAAGACTTAGACCAAGAGACACAATGAAAAAGAGAGAGAGAGAGAGAGAGGATCAGGACAAGGAGAACAGGAAGGACGTGGATGAGAAATCGAAGAGGATGAGATCGACGACAGTGACGAGGAGAACGAGGAGCAGGGGAAGGAGAAGAACGAGGGGAGAGAGACGAGGACGGGTTATTTGTCCATTCGCTTCCAAGGCCACAGGACAACGGTGCCGTCACGACACAAGAGGGGTTTGTGAGGGAAGCCTTGCCTAGGCAGACAGCTCGCAGCCGGAATGAAGGCGGTGGCGGGAAGAAGGTTGGAGGAGTTTGGGCTAGGTCGGGCATGTCCTAATACAGAGAGATTTTGGAAGAAAAACAAAAGAGGTGAAACAAAAAATCGCCAACCCAACGGGCCAGAGGCGTGCTAAACTCTCTGGTAACTGCTCTACAGTAATTCTACTTAGCGCGCGGGGCGGCCCCTGGGGGTCCCCGGAAGAAAAGTATCCCGGGCAGGTCCTGGGCACTGCGGGTCAGAGATGGCTTTCCTCCTGGGCACCGCCCTCGAGGCCGTCCAGAAAGCCCCAAAGAAAGGCCAAGAGGCCGCCAAGAGCCCCTCAAGATGATACAAGAAGCTCCGAGATGAGATCGCTCCAAGACGCACAAGATGCCCCCCAGACGGCCCAACACGCCTCACAGAGCACTCTCAAGAGGGCCCCAAGAGGCAAAATTCAGTGTTTTTCCTAAGTTTTGGAAAGCTTTGGGGGGGTACACCTTTGTGGCTTCCCGACACCCCAAGACGGCCCAAGAGGCCCCCAAGACCGCTCCAACAGGGCCCAAGAGGCCCCAAAGAGGGCTCCAAGACGGCCCAAGAGGGCTCCGAAACGGCCAAGAGGCTTCCAAGACGGACCAAGAAGGCCCCAAGAACGCCCCAAGAGAGGGCCCCGGGGGGGGAGCACGAATCAACATTTCGAGCTCTCGGCCCTAAGAAGAGCCCCAGGAGCCCCCAACAGGCCCCCAAGACGCCCCCAAGAGGCCCCCAGGAGGCCCCCAAGAGGCCCCCAAGCGGCCCCAGGAGGCCCTCAAGAGGCAAAATTCACTGTTTTTCCTTAAGTTTTGGAATGATTTTGGCGTTTCCACCTTTTTGGCTTCCCGAAACCCCAAGACGGCCCAAAAGGCCCCCAAGACCGCCCCAACAGGGCCCAAGAGGCCCCCAAGAGAGCTCCAAGACGGCCCAAGAGGGCACCGAAACGGCCCAACAGGCTCCCAAGACAGCTCGAGAAGGCCCCAAGAACGCCCCAAGAGAGGTCCCAGGGGGGGAGCACGAATCAACATTTCGAACTCTCGGCCCGAAGAAGGCCCAAGGGGTCCCCAAGAGGCCCCCCAGAGACCACTAGAGTGAAAATGAGGTAGGCGTCCTTTGGCCTTGCCGCATGCTCCCCAGCCTTTGGCCGGGGCGCGCGGCGGCCCCCCAGAGACCCCAAGACGCCCCCAACAGGCCCTCAGGAGGCCCCCAAGAGGCCCCCAAGCGGCCCCAGGAGGGCCCCAAGAAGCAAAAAACCTCGGGTTTGGGAACGATTTTGGCGTTTCCACCTTTCCGGCATCCCGACACCCCAAGACGGCCCAGGAGGTCCCCAAGACCGCCCCAAGAGGGCCCAAGAGGCCCCCAAGAGAGCTCAAAGACGGCCCAAGAGGCCTCCAAGACGGCCCAAGAAGGCCCCAAGAACGCCCCAAGAGAGGTCCCAGGGGGGAAACACGAAACTAAATTTCGAGCCCTCGGCCCTAAGAAGCCCCTTGGAGTCCCCAAGAGGCTCCCCAGAGGCCCCAAGAGGCCCCCAACAGGCCCTCAGGAGGCCCCCAAGAGGCCCCCAAGCGTCCTCAGGAGGCCCCCCAAATGCCCCCCCCGAGCACGCAAGCAAGTGCCAACGACCCGACGCGTTTAAGAGTCCCCAAGAGGCCACCAAGAGGCCTTCCGAAAGAGTCTCCATCGGCAAAACGCTTCCAGACGGCCCGCGACGAGTTCAAGAGACCCCCAGCGACCACCAAGAAGCCTCACATGCCGAACGCAAACCCTGATAACAACAGCCGCCGACCCTGCAGCTCCGCACCGCGAAAGACCACTCGGTCAGTCGACAACAGCGCGCAATTATGGGCCGGTGGAATGAGCGAAGCGATTCAATAATCAAAAATAATCAAAAAATAATAGAGAAATCGTCACCAGACTATTTTTGTTTGACTACTTTTGAATATTTGTAGAGGGACATGCCGGACGCAAGGCTTGGGAGGCTGGAGCCGAGAACGGCGCCGCGTGGGCTCAAAACTACAAGGAGCATGCCGCGCAGGAGGAAGACCGCACGCAAACCCGATCGGCGGCCCACGCCGCCGGCCTGGCGCGCACCTGCGGAGCAGCAGTGGCGGGGCGGCCGCCTGCTCGTGAACCACCCCAGCGAACAGGGCGCAGCACGCACCATCGGCGGTGGACAAACCTCCCTTTGGTAAACCAGCCTTCAGTGAAAACGGCCTGGGACCGAAACCGACGGACCTGGACCCGCAAAATAACAGCCGCGACGCCCTCTCGCGAACCGAAACCGGCCAGTTCACCAATCGACGTGTCGGGGTGGGAGGTCCATCAACCTCTGGCACTACGGCGACGGGGGGGCACGGGGCAGAGCAACAGACTCGGCAGTCCTCAACTCACAGGCAGCATCCTCGACTCGAAATGCTTACAGTCAGGGCGTTGACCTAAGGAAGCCCAAATAAGGAACGAGGCCCCTTTTTTCCATAAGTTAAACTTCGATTTCCCATCGAAAACCAAGGGAAACTTAAGACAAGCTGCGCAACAATTAACGAACACGGAGCCCCTCCCCAACGAAAAGGGTTCCTCCTTCAGCGCCCCGACAACTTTTGCTCAGCGTGTCGCGGCGGCGGCCTGGGCGACACGCCATGCCCTGCGAGCGGATAGCGTGTCGCTCCGCTCTGCGGGGCGGGACGCTTGAGAATAAAACAGTGGATAGCGAGCCGCTCGCGGCGAAGCTTTGTACGCCAGAACCGGCGGCGCGACACGCTGAGCCAAAGTTCCCGACCGTAGATAGTGCTCGCCCGTGCCCGCGCAACGCTTGGCACCACCGAGGCCGCCCTGGAACCCCGGGTCGCGCCTCAGTGGCCAGGGGCGTGGAAGTGGAACTTCTTGGCGCCGGTCAGGTTCAGGACGATGTCAAACACGCCGAACTGTCCAGCGGTCAGGGTGCCGATCATCACGCACCTGGCTCCCAAGCCCGTGGTGCAGAGCTTCACGAGTCCGGTCTCCTTCGCAATGTTCACCAGGCGCGAGGCCATACTGCCTTCACCGCCAGCGCCAGCCTTGTTGATCTTGGACAGCAGAGTGTCCGCGGGGTGAGAGATGATTGCGGCGGCCACGCCGGCGATCACGCCAGATCCGAGCGAGACCGACACGTTGCCCGCCGAGCTCATTGTCTTGGGCGTCTGGCCGATGCTGGCATAGATTGACTCCGCTGCCTGCTGCTGCACCACGAACTTGGCCATCGTGTAGGGAATCTGCTTGAACAGGATGGGCACGAAGCCAGAGTAGAAGGCGGGGACGAAGCCCATCTCGCTGGTCATCTTCTTGGCGCAGCTCAGCATGCCTGGCGCGTAGTCCGGGTTCGACACCAGGCGGATGCGCGTGGCCTCGTAGGGGCACAGGAAGATGTCGGCGATGAACTCGGCCATGGCGGAGGCACCGAGCGTGATGGGCGTCCGGTTGTCCCAGGCCTTCTGCTCGCCCAGCGCCGCGGCGATCTTCGTCTTGAACACCTCCACGCCCCCGAACTTGAACCAGCCCTGCACGAGGTAGCCCTGGCAGGTGGGGCCCAGCCCCGTGAGCAGGGCGCCGGCGCCCTCCTCCGCGGCGACGGTGCGGAAGCCGGCCACCATGCCCTGGCTGTACTTCCCCGGGTCGAGCTGGATGCGCGTCTTCACCACGTCGACCGGGGTCAGCGCGCCGTGCGTGAGGCCGCAGCAGATGCCGCCCGCGAGGGCCGCCTTGAGGTAGAAGCCCGAGGTGAACGGGCCCTGGCCCATGAAGGTGCCATCGCCGCCCCCTCCCTCGCACTGCGCCGCCCTGGGCGGGGAGAAGCGTGGGCCGCGAAGCATCGCGAGGGACGGGTACGGCATCATGGCCGCGGCCGCTGCGCCTGTCTGCGGCGAATCGGAGGAACCCGCGAGGGACCCGGGGCGGGCGGTGCCAAAATGGCTGCGGAGGGGGACGGGGAGGGCCAGGACCAGGAGGGCCAAGGCCCGGGGCCTTCCCCTCCTCATCCTCGTTCCTCCCTCCCTCCCTCCCTCCCTCCCTCCCTCCCTCCGCCTCCTCCATCCCTCCCTCACTCCCTCCCTTCCTCCCTCCTCCCTACCTTCCTCCCTCCCTCCTCCCTCCCTTCCTCCCTCCCTCCCTCCCTCCCTCCTCCCTCCTCCCTCCTCCCTCCCTCCCTCCCTCCCTCCTCATCTCCTCCTCGCCTCCCATCAATGCAACCCTGAGACTGCTTCAAGAAGTTTGCACACTGGTCCGTGAGTTTGGTATGGAGGACCCCTCGAGGAACCCACAACGGAGACTTCCAGGGGCATTGAGAGCCCTGAGCCAAGGATACGGGCCCCTACATATATTCAAATGTTTGGAGGGCGTCACGAGGCCCCCAGGAGGCCCCCAGAGGCACCCAGGAGGTCCTAAGAGGCCCCCAAGAAGCCCCAAGAGGCCCCCGAGAGGCTCCCAAGAAACCCCAAAGAGACTCCAAAACCGCCTCCAGGAGGCCTCAAAACTGCCTCCAAGAGGCCCCCGAGAGACCTCCCACGAGATCCCAACGAACATCCAATAAGCTTCATACCCACTGCCCAGGCACGGTTACGGGACGGGCCGAAGGCCATTCGATCCGCCGCCCCCTGTGGTCTTGCCACAGGGGTGCCCGGCGTGCTACACGGTTTGGTTTTGGTTGCCTTTCCAAAACAAACGAACTCCCCCTGGGGCTTCGGCCCGTCCCGCCGGCCACCCGGAAAGGACCGCAAAATGGATATGTCAATGACTTTCCCGTTCCAAGATGGCCCAAGATGGCTTCTAAGACGGCTCAGATGGCCCGAGAAGGCATCTAAGTTTGCCCAAGATGGTCAGTTATGGCCTCCAAGACGGCCCAAAAGTGTCCAAGATGCCTCCAAGTCCGCCCAAGAAGTCTCCAACCTGGCCCAAGAGAGCCCAAGAAGTGCCAAGAGACCTCCAAGACAGCCCAAGAGGCCTCCAAGACGTCTCCGAAGAGGCCAAAATCACTGATTTGCCTCAGGTTTTTGAAAGTGGTTCGGCATTTGCTTCGTATCGGCTTTCCGACGGCCCAAGCCCAGGAGGCCCCGAGATCGTCTCAAAATGGCCCGTACGGCCTCCAAGACGGCCCCATGACGGCCCCAAGATCGCCCAAGAGGCCTCCAAGATGGCCCCAGAACGGCCCAAGAGGCCCCCAAAACGGCCCCAAGAGGGCCCCCAGACGGCCCAAGAGGCCTCCAAGACGCTCAACATGGCATCCAAGACGGCCCTGAGGCGCCCCCAGAGGGTGCGAGAGGCCCCCGAGACGGCTTCCAACAACGTCAGACGGGCCAGGAGGCCACCCAGACGGCCCAAGATGGCTCCAAGGTAGCCCAAGACGGCCCAAGAGGTCTCCAAGATGTCTCCAAGACGGCCCAAGAGGCCTCCAAGAGGCCCTCAGGAAGGCCCGAAGAGGCCAAAATCATCGATTGTCTATAAGTTTTTGAAGGTATTTGGCATTTGCTTCTTTTCGGACTTCCGACGGCCCGAAACGGCCCAAGAGCCCCCAAAGATCGCCCCAAGATCGCCCAAGAGGCCTCCAAGATGGCCCCAGAACGGCCCAAGAGGCCCCCAAGACGGCCCCAAGAGGGCCCCAAGACGGCCCAAGAGGCCTCCAAGACGCCCAAGATGGCCTCCAAGACGGCCCTGGCGCACCCCAAGAAGGCCCCAAGTCGGCCAAAAAGGACCCTCGAGGCGGCTTCAGGCAGCGTCAGACGGGCCAGGAGGCCATCAAGACGGCCCAGAATGGCCCAAAGATGGCCCAAGAGGCCCCGAAGAGGTGTCCAAGACGGCCCAAGATGCCCTCAAGAGGCCCTCCAGGAAGGCCCGAAGAGGCCAAAATCATTGGTTTTCCTGGGGTGGTTGAAGAATGTTGGCATGTGCTTCTTTTCGGACTTCCGACGGCCCGAAACGGCCCAAGAGCCTCTAAGGATCGCCCTAGGATCGCCCAAGGGGCCTCCAAGATGGCCCTAGAACGGCCCAAGAGGCCCCCAAGACAGCCCCAAGAGGGCCCCAAGACGGCGCAAGAGGCCTCCAAGACGCCCAAGATGGCCTCCAAGACGGCCCTGGAGCACCCCAAGAAGGCCCCAAGTCGGCCAAGAGGGGCCCTCAAGATGCTTCAGACAGCGTCAGACGGGCCAGGAGGCCATCAAGACGGCCAAGAGGGCCCACGAAAAGCGCCCAAAGGCCCCCAAGAGGCCTAAGGAGGCCCCCAAGATGCCTCCAAGAGGCCCCCAGGAAGCTCCAAGAAGGCCCCAAGAGTGCCCCCCGAGGCTCCCAAGATGCCCCCTCCTTCTCCTCCTTCTCCTCCTCCTCCTCCTCCTCCTCCTCCTCCTCCTGATCCTCCCCACCATCCTCCCCCATGTGTGCCCCGAAGGGTTTCTACTACGGCTGGGAAAACACATGGCCCGATAGCTTGGCAGACCTCTTGCCACAACGCCCGGCCACATGGGCGATCCCAAAAGGCAGGGGGCGGCGGAGATTTGCCGCAGGCGTCTTCGATATGTTTCAGAGGGTGTCTCGAGGATCTGCTCGACCCCCCCCTTGCCTGGGCCCCTCTGCGAGGCCCCTCTGCCCGAGAAACGGTCTGGCTCGAGGGGCCTTTCGTGACCTTACCGCACGCGCTGGGAAAAGGAAACGGTGATCATTTCGCTTCGTTGATGTGGAGATAGTTTCTCACTGTTATGTGGAATGTGATTCGACGTTTCGACTCCTACTGAACGTGCTACTGTGCCGCCCGTTGCTACAATCCGGCTACTCCTCCTCTTCCTCATCCCCCTCCTCCTCCTCCGACTTGGCCTCTCCCACGTACCCGTCATCAAGCTTAAAAGTTAGCATCCGCTTCAGAATCATCATCATCATCATCAGCAGCAGCAGCAGCATCATCAGCATCAGCATCAGCATCGGCATCAGCAGCAGCGTCATCATCAGTAACACCATCGCTATCGTCAGCATCACCAGCATCATGATCATCATCGTCATCATCATCATCAGCATCAGCATGAGCAGCATCATCATCAGCATCATCATCACCATCGTCAGCGTCATCAGCATCGCCATCGTCACCGTCATCCTTAACATCATCACCAGCGTCGCCAATCATGATCATCGTCATCAGCATCCTCATCATCACCATCGTCAATAGCATCATCAGCATCACCATCATCATCGCCATCACCATCATCATCAGCAGCATCACCATTATCATCAGCACCACCATCAGCATCAGCATCATCATCATCAGCAGTATCATCATCAGCATCAGCATCATCATCAGCATCAGCATCATCATCACCAGCAGCATCATCAGCAGCATCAGCATCAGCATGAACAGCATCATCAGCATCAGCATCATCATCAGCATCATCATCATCACCATCATCATCATCAGCATTATCATCAGCATCATCATCATCAGCATCATCATCCGAATCATCACCACCATCATCATCATCATCATCATCATCATCATCATCAGCATCATCATCAACATCAACATCACCAGCATCATCAGCATCAGCTCCTCAGGCCCTCTTGGTGGTCCTTTATTGGGCCTCTTGGGCCTGCTTGGGACCCTCCTGGGCCGACTGGAGGCCATCTGAAGCCATCTTGGAACGCCCTTAGGCAGTCCTCGGCTGTATTGGGGCGCGTTGGGTCGCCTTGGAACCCTCTTGGACCGTCTTGGGCGCTTCTTTTTTTATTAATGGGCCACTCCCCCCACCCTTAATGAGTTAAGCACCGACCACACTCTTCTGCAAGCTCGGTGGCGTCTCGCCTGCATTCGGAGACGGGCTTCAAACTGCTGGGGCGGCGTGCCAGGTAAGCCATGTCTGGCCGAAGTGTGCATACTGAGAAACGCATCGCAAAGCATCGAACTTACAAGGCACCGATCAGGACCCATCCCACGAAAAAGGAGGTAAGAGTGGAGCCAGGGCGAACCCTCAGGAGACCCAGAGGAAGCAGGAGCCCAGGAGCCCATCCACTGAGAGAATAACTGTCTGAGCCTGGGGCATACAAGATAGTGTACCATGTCGTCGAAGTCGCAATAGGGGTTCGAAGGACACGGGCATCCAAGAATACAGCCTCTGGGAGCAGCATGGAATCTAGCACTAGTGCAGACACACCTGGAGAGCAAACGAACAACAGCCAAGGGGAGATACATGCTGGAACGTCTCGTCAGAGCTTTGACCAGGGAACAGACACGACCAATGTCAAGGATGGTAACCCCAGGGATCCACGCACAAGCCCGACGAAGGAGAGCTTCATGAGGGGGGACGGCGAGCAAGTGATATCGCTTCAGCACATGCACATGCACATGTGTATATATATATATATATATATATAGATATAGAAATCTATATATGACCGTCTTGGGCGCTTCTTGGGACGTCTTGGGCGCCTCTTGGGCCATCTGAGTGGGGGGGGCCTGGCCATTGGATCCTGGTAGGCCAGCCTACCCCCCACCCCTGGAACCCCTCCCTAGAAGGCTTCGCCCCACCAGACCGCCATCACTCGTACATCGCTCTTTCCATTACATGTGCCCCCCGAGGAAGACCCCCTCACACTCCCCCTTGTTGTTTCCCCCGGCTAACGAATCGCGACGCTACGCGCGCTTTTCGTCAATCCCCAGATGGTCCCAGATGGTCCAAGTTCGCCAAAGATGGTCCAAGCTGGCCTCCAAAACGACCCAAGAAGGTCCAAGATGCATCCAAGCCCGCCCAAGGAGCCACGGAGACGGCCCAAGATGGCTCCAAGACGGCCCGAGAAGCTCCCAGAAGGCCTCCAAGACGGCCCACGAAGCCTCCAAGAGGTCCTCCAGGCACGCCCGACGAGGCCAAAATCATTGATTGCCCCTAGGTTTTTAACAGATCCTGGCATTTGCTCCTTTTCGGCCTTCCGAAGGCCCAAGATGGCCCGAGAGGCCTTCGAGGATCGCCCCCAGAGCGCCCAAGAAGACTCCAAGATGACCCCAGGACGGCCCTAGATGCCCCTAAGACAGCTCAGAGAGGGGCCCAAGACGGCCCAAGAGGACTCCATGACACCCAAGATGGCCTCCAAGACGGCCCTGAGATGGGTCGAGAGAGGCCTCCAAGACAGCTCCCGACGGCGTCGGCCCAGGAACGCCCTGAGACGGACAAAGAGGCCCCGAGCAAGCCCCCAAAGGTCTCCAAGAGGCCCAAGGAGGCCCCCAAGAGGCCTCCCAGAGGCTCCCAGGAAGCTCCCAGGAGACCCCAAGCGTGCCCCAAAAGGATCCCGGGCCGTGCTCTCTCACGGCGGACATCGAACACCCCATCAGCTGTGTGCGTGTCCTCCTCCTCCTCCTCCTCCTCCTCCCTCCTCCTCCTCCTCCTCCTCCTCCTCCTCCTCCTCCTTTTCCTCCTCCTCCTCCTCCTCCTCCTCCTCCTCCTCCTCCTCCTCCTCCTCCTACGTACTCCCTCTTCCTGATTATCCTCAGTATCCTCTTCCTCACGTGTTCACCGAAGGGTTCCAACGACGGCTGGGGAACGCATGGTGCGATAACTTGGCCAAGCACTTGCCCAACTTTCGGCCACATAAGGGGCTTCAAAAAAGGCAGGAGGCGGCGGTGATTCGCCGTAGGCGTCTTCGTCCGCCGCCCCCTGCTGACTTATCACGGGGTGCCTGGCGTGCTGAATGTTTGTCTGCTATTGGTTAGTTTGACAACTTACCCTGAGGCTTCCAAGATGGCCCAAGATGGCCTCCACGACGGCCAAGATGGCCCAAGATGGCCTCCAAGATGCTTCCAAGACGGCCCAAGAGGCCTCAAGAGGCCTCAAGAGAGCCCAAGCTCCAAGCAGGCCCCTTAGGTTTTTGACAGATTTTGGCATTTGCTTCTTTCGGCCTTCCGAAGGGCCAAGACGGCCCGAGAGGCCTCCAAGATCGCCCCCAGAGCGCCCAAGAGGCCTCCAAAATGGCCCGAGGACGGCCCAAGAGGCCTCCAAGACGGCACACAGAGGCCCAGGACGGCCCAAGAGGCCTCCACGACGCCAACGATGGCCACCCAAGACGGCCCTGAAGTGCTCCAAGAGTGCCCCCAGACGGTACAGAGAGGCCCCCAAGACGGCTCCAGACGGGGCCCAATAGCATGGCCAAACTTTATCTCAAGAGGGCTCCAGGACAGCCCAAGAGGGCCCCAAGGACACCGAAGAGGCCCCCCAAGAGAGCCCCAAGATGGCCCAAGACGGCCCTTGGAGGCCCCAAGGGCACTAAGAAGGCCCAGTCAGTCCCCAAGACGGCCTCCGCAGGCGCCAGACGGCCAAAGAGCGCTCGAAGACAGCCGAAGACGCCCCCAAGACGCCACAACAGGCCCCCACGCAGCCCCAAAAGAGCCCAAGGAGAGCCCAAACGTACGTAACTACACTACACATCCTGGACGTGCACTCTGCGAAGTGGGAGGAATCTTGAACGGGGAGGGTCGAAGACGAAGAGGTAGAGGAAGACGAGGGAGGAAGACGGAAGGGAGGGGAGTGGGGGAGGGAAAGAGGGAGCTCCGAGGCAGACCAACCGAAAGAGGCGCAGCGTGAGGCGAGAGGACAAAGTCTGCACGCTGCTGCGGGGGCCGCGCCGGCAGCAGCGAGAGAGGCGCGGAGGGCTCGGGCAAAGCACACTCACCGCATTGCTGGAAGAATCGGTGGCGCCAGGAGCAAGCGCGAGCCCACTGCTCCTCGCCCTCCCTGCCCAGACCGCCACCCTCGCCCGCATCGCCGTCCACGCTCCTCCGTCCGCCCTGCATGCCTCCCTCCCTCCCTCCCTCCTCCTATCCTTCCTGTAAGACGAAGCCAGGAAGAGGACAGAATCGGGTGAGGACAAATCGAGAATCTCTGAGATCCGGCGGCTCTGCAGAATGTGTCGCGCGCCGCGGCCTTCTCGGAGCGTCCCGGAGCGCTCTGAGAGCGTTCCAGAACGCTCTGGAACGGACTTATTCTCGTCCTAGCCCCGTCCGGTTCTTCCCGCCTCCCAGACCCCCGCACACCCTTTCTCCACCCTGGGGGCGGA